GAAAGAAGGGAAATGTACACGCTTTTTTTTTTAATTGAGTTAGTGGGATAACTTTATATATTCTAATTGATACAAGAACAAAATAATTTTATTCTAAGGGTCGATTATATGTATATTTTTAATCCTATTCTATTTGTCACTACATCAAGGCTCTTAATCGATATAAATTAAATTAAATATTATTTCCATTTGAAAAAATAAAACTCAAAACACCTTATAAGCTTAGCCAAATATGGCACAATTGTTTTTACTTACTTTATTAATTCTTGGAATTAATACTAAAATTAAGATTAAGTTTAGCAAAATTTTAAACTAATCAAGACCCAATTTAGAGACTCCTATTCAAAAGCAGCCCATTTTATGTGTTATGAATTGAGATTTCATCTTAAAAGGTCAACCTTGTTAAGAGGAGTAATCCAAGATCTTTATTAATTGGTTTGTGTCAACATCATTTATTGATGTGGAATATATATCTCTTAACACACCCCCACAAGATGGTGGCTCATTTGAGCAGACCAATTTTGAAATCTACGTGCTCATTTTAGAGTCTTAACGGGATCGAATCGCTCGTTGGATCATAATGAGCTCTGATATCATGTTAAGAATTGAGATTACATCTTAAAAGGTTAACTTTGTTTAGAGGAGTAGCCCAAGATCTTTATTAATTGGTCTGTGTCAACATTATTTATCGATATGGAATATATATCCTTTAACATTATGTACCCGAAATTTAGAATAAAGTATATTCAAACTAAAATACGCACACATTTCCATGACCGAACAAACACACTTTTCATGCGTGTTTAATATGATGAATAGAGTAATATTGAATAAGATTAAAGAAAATATATTAAGTCCATATTGGTTTTGCCGAAATCAAATTTTTAGTAGATCTTGATAAAAATTGATAAAATTTGCAGTTGAAATATTGTTAAAAATCAGAGTAACACTATTTAGCTCCCATTGGGGTTATAACCACAGTGCGTTAATATAGCATTAAATGATAAGTGAAATTAAATGTGTCATCTAATTCCATCTTTCATTTAGCATATCACCCAAAACCACATATGAGTTATAATTTCAATGGGACTAAATGAAATTATTCTAAAAATTATAAATTCTATTAAATGTATGATTAAAAATGAATTTTAAATGAAAGTCAAACATGAG